TGAGACAGAGCCTCAAGCTGTCCCCCTGGGTAAAGTGCTGTGGGATCATAGCTCACAGCAACCTCCAACTCCTGGGCTCAAGCGAGTCTACTGTCTCAGCCTCCCAAGTAGCTGGGACCACAGGCGCTCACCACAACACCTGGCTATTTTTTGGTTTCATCCATCATTGTTGTTTCGTGGGCTCGGGCTTTGAACCCGCCACCTTAGGTGTATGTGGCTGGCGCCTTAGCTACTTGAGCCACAGGCGCAGAGCCCAGAATGACATTTAAAGTATACCATTTTCAAGCATTCCCTTTCTGGCTGACCTCACCCTATTCAATTTTTTATGCTAATTATTCTTATGTGGTGATATCATTTCTCCTCTTTTTCATGCCTAAAACCTCTGTTCATTAAGTGCAAACTGTACATTACGCCAGATGTTTGTAACGTGGGTGCTACTTATGAAACTTACACTTATGAATGGAGGCTATTACAGGTAATAGGTAAATATACCCATTCCAACTCACATACAAATTTAACTTAAGAACAAAACAACAGGCTTGGTGCTTGTAGCTCAGTGGCTAGGGTGCCAGCCACATACACCAGAGCTGGCCTGTTCGAATCCAGCCTGGGCCTGCCAAACAACAATGACAACTACAACCAAAAAATAGCCAGGTTTTATGACGAGTACCTGTAGTCAGTCCCAGCTACTTGGGAGAATCACTTAAGCCCAAGAGTTTGAGGTTGCTGTCAGTTGTGATGCCATGGCACTTTACCCAGGGCTACAGCTTGAGACTCTGTCTCAAAAAAAAAAAAAAAGAACAAACCTACAGAACCTATCTCTTTTATAACCCAGGGAATAACAATAAAACCCAGATAGAAAAAAATAAGATATAGCTACATTTGAGTCTATACTGCCAAGGTCCCAACATCAAAAATATCTTTCTCTTTAATTCAGGGAAGTACATACCAGCGATGCTGTCCGTATAGTAGCAAAGTGTTCTCGATTACGATAGTGTGATTTGTGACGAGATACTTGGGGTGGGGATTGTGGGTCTGATGCTCTTGTTCTAGAATCTCCCTCTTCTCTGTAATTTTCTTCCTCCTAGGCAAGGAAACAGACAATATCGCTCAAGGTGAACACTGTTTGAATCTTCAAAAAAATTAAAATCTAAAGACAACTGGATCAGTACATCTGAAATACACCTAATTCTAAATAAAAACAAACAAAAAACTGTGAATGCTGACATCTAACTTTCAACGTAATTAGGAGAAATTATTTCTATAGCATATGAACTAGCACACAGACTCAAGATAAGGAAACACACATGGCCAGATTCATATCCCATCCAATATGCACAAAACTGAAAAGCTTTAATATAACTTAAAAACAAAGATGGTGAAACACGCAGCCAATATTTTAAATAGTAATAAAAATCACTTTCTCAAACATTCTTGGATTTTAGAAGCAAAACACGTTTGAACTCTCTTCATAATGATTCTGCCATTTGTCCAAAATAAGCAATTAAAAAATAGTGGCAGCTGGGCACAGTGGTGCATAACTGTAATCCTAGCACTCTCGGAGGCCAAGCTGCATGGATCACTTGAGCTCATGGGTTCGAGACCAGCCTGAGCAAGAGCAAGACCCCATTTTTAAAAGACAGCTGGGTATTGTGGCAGGTGCCTGTAGTCTCATCTACTTGGGAGGCTGAGGCAAGAGGATTTCTTGAGCCCAAGAGTTTGAGGTTGCTGTGAGCTATGATGCCACAGCACTCTACTGGGAGTAAGAAAGGCAGACTCAGGCTCAGCTCCTGTAGCTCAAGCAGCTAAGGCCCCAGCCACATACACCAGAGCTGGAGGGTTCGAATCCAGCCCAGGCCTGCCAAACAACAATGACAACT